GATTATTTCCATTGTTCTTTTCCCTGTTCGTTAGAGAGTTTCTTTATGGGAAAAGGGGGCAGAGAATAGGAAGCACCATTTAAAACTAAAAAGTAGTATATTTCAGAAGAGGTAGGTTACTCCAAGATATGTAAAAATGGATGAAGTAGGGAAATCGGAAGACTATAGAATGATATCTTCATGCTGTTAGAAGCTAGAAGAGAAACCCCAAATCCAGCTTCTGTTTTTCCTTTCCTTTTGAGTATGCAACTCCCTAGCGCTCAACTTCCCTTTGAGGTTGCAACTCCCTAACGCTCAACGAGAAAACTAGCTAGTACAGGATCAAGGAGATAAAATTTGCCCTTCATCTCCTCCTACGTACTTTTATATTTTTATGTCTGCAAGCTAGAATAACTTCTGCTTTTTGGAAAATCTTCAGTAGTAACACGCAAACACTAAACCGTCAAGATATGTGCTATAGGAAATTTAACTTTCACAATCTTGCTTATGTTTATATTGTACTAAACCTTGTTTGATGGCTCTTACACATTATATATCTGGTCCTTTCAAAACGGTCAGAACTTATTTTTACTCTTCCTCCGAAAGAGTAGGGCATAGTAGCATGTATGATCAACTTGCAGCTCTACCTTCTGTTAACTTGTAAGTGTGCTTATTTTACAAATATGCATGTTTCATTGATTTTTGGATAATAGCGGCACTGATTCAGGTTGAAGAAGCTGAAATACTCTTGAATGGCTCTGAACATGTGGTGTTTGATGAGGTTTATGTTGTATTATAGGTTTATAGTTCTTATAGGGAGAAACTGAGTTCATCTGCACTTTGTTTATTCTATTTCATTTCATGAGATATCTTTACGGAAATCTCAGGTTGAGCACTAACAGTGAAAGCTCTTCCCAAATTTCATTCTTTTCTGAGCATTTACAAACATTTGGAATTCTGGAGTCTGTAGCTAGAGCTTTCCTTGGATTTCTTTTCCTTTCTACCAATTTTCAGACGTTTGGAATAGCATTTGTGACATCTGTAGCGTTGTCATGAATCTTGTTATTTTCAGTTTGCACATCATGCTATGTATTAAGATTTGGTTTAATAGTTTGCATATCAAGCATAACCGTGTACATGATAAAATGGTAAATCCTCTTTTCTGCCAGAGTAAAATATATAGTACTTAGTAGTATCATATAATGTTTTTATTTTGGAGTCGCTTGTAAGATCAATTTTGACAGTTTGCTGCAAAATTGTTAACCGACAATTCTTTTTGCGTTGTTATCTACTATTGACATTCCCAACACCTTCTCCCTTTGACAGATGGAATTATCCTTTCGTAACCCTGCTTTAGTGTCTTGGTAGCCACATTTTGTTGCATGATTCGCGGCCTATTCATTTGACGATATCTTAGACACTTTGGTAACTCTCTTTCTTCCCTCAGAATGGGGACGGTGGGTATTATTATTCTACTGCTAGCCCTTTCCTTCCTGCCCTCAATGCACGATAAACCAACCTGACTTTGGTGCAGTAGTATAAAGGCTATACAACACAAGGTTTGTCGTAGACGAGTTGGAATATTTATTGTGAACAAAATCTGGTATTAGAATCTTATTGTGATCAAACTCTAGTATTAATATTAAATAGAGAGAAACAGACCCGTTAATTACCGATTTTCCAAATTGTAAACAAGGGACATCTCCATTGTCCAAAAAATCAATAAATGAACCAACTTCTAGGATGCTTTTTTTGCCAGTTATTCTTTTCTGCAATCTTCTGTCACAATGTTTACATGCATTTGAGCGTTAGGCACTGCAGATATTACTTAATTTTCGAGAAACCATTTCATAAACCAAACCCATGACACGTTTTCAACTTAATATTGTTATTCATGCAAGCCAAGCCACTTCATAGATTAAACATTCCATGTCAGTCTGGCGGATAGAAAGCTGCATATATGCTTCTGCTTCAAGCAGAGTTAACCAAAAGAATTTGATAACAATACAGTCAAACCTCTATAACATCCTTATATAACAAAACTTCACTATAAAAGCCAGTTTTTTTTCGGAACCAAATTTCATGTTGTATTACAATATATGTTCTCTATAACAACAATTCGTTATAACATCCAAAAATATTCGGAACAAAGGAGACTGTTATAGAAAGGTTTGACTGTATATCAAAGCTGCAATGCAGATGCGTCTGATCACCAAACTAGTCATAGTTAAGTCTCATATCTGATTTAAAAGGATCTACTTGTTCTTCCAGAAATACATAGAAAAGAATAAGTGCAACAAATCAGCTTTCATTTCTTCTTGCAAAAGGGAAGTTAACCTTCGTTTGCTCAGACGTCAAGACCTTCATTTCACTAAACATTCTTTTCCTTTTGGGGGAAATACATTAAAATTAGTAATCAAATCACAATGATAGTAAGATTTAATCTCATGGTGGAAAAGTGGGTAATAGTAAGGAAAATAGCGAAGAACAAAGAGCATTATGACCTGCTACAAATTTCTTTCGTTCTTTTTTCTCCAGGGGGTGGAGGGTAGGTGCAGTGCAAGGGAGTAAGAAGAAAGAAGGATGCAAAAGGGAATGAAGGAAAAAAGTGACATATTCCAATTTATAAAGGCAAAGGTTTTCTATCTGGCCATGATTCTACTTTCTCAAAATACCTCACAGGCACGGTACCATCAAATCCCTCCGTCAAGATAACTCTGTTGTCTGAGATATAAAGCTTCATCCCATCTGAAGCAATGCATAGCAGTGAGAAACAGGGAAAAGTAGAATTTTTGAATTTTCATCACTTCCACGCAAGTATCAACTTATGAATATGTTCTCTTTGTGATTTCAAGGTTAGTTTTTGAATCTAGAAAGAATATATAAATAAGCTAAGACTTCACTCTCAATACAGAGAGTTAGAATATCGTTTCCTGTCATCTCACTGCAGATATTACTTATTTCTTGAGAACCCATTATAAGTTCTAATACGTTCAGTCTCTAACTAATACCTTATTCGATTCCATTTTATTGGAGTATGATAATACTTTAGAAAAACTTGACTAGAATTCAAAAATCGAAACAGTTACCTTCCAAAGCTCTTCTCACATCAAGAAATATGAGGACATTAACATCTCGCCTCATTCCTGGTCAGAGAAAAAGATTATTCGGTTACCCAAGAAACCAAGTATATTGAAGTTCAGGTGAACTGTCTAAAATCAAGAGTTTGTTGTTGGTAGAGGAAGATACAGAAGGTCAAAGATAAAGAATGATATGCATAAGTTTATACATGGGTCAGAAAGCACAACAATTAAGAAATCGCAGGAAATGATTCTTAGAAATGCACCATGTCGGGATTCTACTAGATCAATACTGTATCTTTGATGGTACAGTTGAGAAATTTGTGTGTTACAGGGATTATTCATGCCATGAGAAACAGTAATCGGTGCAAGTGGATTTATGACATTAGCATAAAATACAATGAAATATAAATTGTGATAATACATAATAGCAACAGATACAAGATCCTATGAGATATCTTACCACTAATTACCTCCCCATCTGTTGGCAAGCCACATGAGAAATGAACATGTAACCTTTTCATCCGTTTGAGTCCATGCTCCAAAATTGATTCCAAATTCTTCTTATAAGTGCCATGTACACAAACTGCATTGCCACAAACGAAAATCAAGACACCAGAGACAGAAAATTCTCAAGTAAGACCCAGGGGACATTGATATAAAAATTATTGTTCAGCACGAGATGAGGAAGTGATCTCAATTTATAGACACAATTAATGAATTGAGGTCAAGACCCACCCTTTTTTATGTTGGGAAAACAAGAACCTAAAAATGAAACTTGAAGAGTTTTCTGAACTTACATTAAACATGTATTGAGTTCAGGATCACCCCTTTTCTGGTCGACATTACAATATACAAAATGAGAATTTGAAAATGAAACTCTGAATTTTTGTACTCATACATTATACATTTATTAACATTAATACTCAGATTTTAGCACTTTATACAAAAAAAAATTACTCCGATTTTAGTATTTGCTACTACATTGAAAAGCATGATCTTTTCGGGAAAATTATCAACAATATAAAATTGTTGACAGTTAAGTTGCAATAGAAGGAATACATGGCAGTTTGACATTGTGCAAGATCCAAATTTATTCCTTTTAGCCCTATGACCAATCAACCCGCACCCCCATGATGCTGAACGGGTGCTTAGAATTTATAAAACAGTTCAAATAGTAGCCCAGACAGACTCCAAATAAGAGTGAT